ATTCCTGTGTCTTACATTTACATATCTCTTCTGGTTGTAAGCTGCTCCTTTATATTCAGGTCTGGCCTCACAATGATAATGTAACACTTGGGGATGAAGATGCAGCCCAGCAACCCAGCACCAGAGGCCAAGATGGAGAAAACCTGCACGGCCACCATGTATTTCCCTTTGGTGCTCAGGTAGGTTGGTACAAAGGTCATCCAGACACTGCAGAAGATCAGCATGCTGAAGGTGATCAATTTGGCTTCATTGAAGGCCCCAGGCAGATTCCTGGCCAGGAAAGCCACTGTGAAGCAAAGGGAAGCCAAGAAGCCCATGTAGCCGAGTGTGATGTAGAACATGAAAACAGAGCCTTCATTGCATTGCAAGATGCTCACTCCAGGCTGGGAGTGAAAGTCAGAATCAGGGAATGGGGGAGAGACTCCTAGCCAGAAGAAGCAGATGATAATTTGGACAGCAGAACAAGAAAGGATGATGGAGTTGGCCAAACTCTTCCCCAACCATCTTTTTACTCGGTTTCCTGGTTTCGTAGCCAGGAAAGCCAGCACCACCATGATTGTTTTGGCTAAGAGAGAAGAAATGGAAACTGAGAACATAATACTAAACACTGTCTGTCGGAGAAGGCAAGTGGTTTTTCTTGGTTGACCAATGAAGAGAAAAGAAGACAAGAAACAAAGCAGGAGGGAGACCAGGAAGATGTAAGAGAGGTCCCTGTTGTTGGCTTTGACAATGGGTGTTTCTCGGCATTGAATGAATATGACTAAAACAAGGCCTGTGGTTAGGAAGAAAAGTAGCACAAAGGAGACCAGAATAATCCCAAGATATTCCTCATAAGACAGGAAGATTATAACTTTGGGGATACAGTGTACTCGGTCCTCATTTGGATATTTATCTTCCGGACACTTGGTGCATTTTTCTGTATCTGAAGAAACCAAAAAGTAATATTATTTTAATATTTAGGTTTTTACCTTTCAAGAAACAACTTCTTTGGGACAAAAGCTGATAATAGGAGTATTTTCCCAAGATGCTTTTCTTAATATCTCCACAGAAAGAAGATAATATCATTTGGTGGTCAACAGTATTAAGTATCTGGGAGTGCAGATAACTAATAATTTGAATTGGTCTCTCCACACGTCATCCTTAGCGAAGCGGGAGAACCAGCACCTGTATTTCCTGCATTAGATGAGGAGAGCACATTTACGTCCTTCTGTCCTGGCCACTTTTTACAGAGACATGATTGAGATCATTTTAACAAACTGCATCCCTGTTTGGTTTGGTGGCAGCAGTGCCTCAGATAGAAAGCCCCTACAGAGAGTGGTAAGGACAGCCAAGAAGATTATAGGAAGCTCACTTCCTGTTATTCAGGATAGTGCTTATAAGCACTATGTGCTTAGAGCTCAAAGCATTGTTAAAGTCACACACACACACTTTACAGTCTGTTTTTCTTGTTCCCCTCTGGGAAGAGTCTTTGAAGTATTTCTAGCAGGACTATCAGATTCTGTTACAGTTTTGTTCCCTACGCCATCCATTTGATAAACTTGCAAGATTTGTTTGTCTCGCCATGTACATGTGTACATTAGTACTAGACTGTGTGGTTTCTCTGTGTCATATAATATATGTGGGCATATGCATAGTTTTGTATTTATTTATTTTGTCATGTATGTTTATTTTTCAGTGTGTGTTGGAGGTGGGGAGCCCTTCAGAGCTGTATTCAACAACATTTCATTTTGATGTATGCCGATTAGTGTAAAAATTGACAATAATGTTATTTGAAATGTAAGCCTATTTTATAAAAAGAAATAGCTGTATTTCTAATGGTTTACGAAATTGGGGGAATCCTAGAACCCGAGTGATTTCTTATGTAATGTCCAGAATCATCAAAGTAACCTACATTGTTTTTGGTAAATAATGAATCAGTTAGTCTTTCTAGCTAAATTTTCTGGGTTCTTCCAGATGGCACTTCTTAAAATACTGAATCCAGAGGATGCCTATCTTATGAAATCTAGTTGGCTGGAAGAGGAAGCCAGTCCTGCAATGGTTACTGAGACCAGTGGTAATATGGGTGGAATGAGGTGCATCCATAATGTCCATATCACCTCATTGTGTATCAGAGTCATCTTCCCAATGATCCTAAAGGGGAGGCCCATGTATAGTGTAATGCGATAAACCTTCTAGGCAATGGTGGGATTCAAAAAATTTCTGTGGGCGTGGCTTTGTGGGCGTGGCACGGGAAGGATGATGCAAAATCCTCATTCCCTCCTCACTCTCAAAATTTCTGCTACCTTCTCCAGAACCTGTCAGAATTGCTGAATACCACCTCTGCTTCTAGGACCGTGATGGTGGACCTATGACACGTGTGCCACAGTTGGCATACAGCACCCTCTCTGTGGGCATGCTAGCTGTTGCCCTAGTTCAGTTCTACAGTGCATGCGCTTGCACCTCCCACTGGGTAGATGGTCATCAGGTGTCTGCCATGCATGTGCGAGTGGGCCCTGCATGCATGTGGGGGTGGGTGGGAGGCATGCAGGGGGCATGTGGGGAGCATGTGCACATGTGCAGGAGGTGGGGCGCATGCACAGGCTGTGTGCACACATTGCATTTTGGGGATTTGGACCACACACACAAGCATCCATGCATGCATTCATGCAATAGTCATGCAAGTGCACGCTTTGGGCACTTGGTCCGGAAAAGGTTAGCCATCACTGTTCTAGGAAATGGACCTAAGATCATTCCTGAAGTTTGACAGAATTCAGATGTTTCTAGAAAGGTAAACATGGAAGAAGGCATCCCTATTAAAAAGCAGAAGAGAGATTTTATCCAGCAATAGTCAAACGTGTCCAATCTGCCACATCTTCCTGTCTCTTCCTTGCCCCTCGTTAGGTCATTTTGTTATTCTTTCCTTTCATTAAGAAATTGTGCAATCTGAAAATAACCAAGACCACAGCTGAGCTTCAATCTGTCTTTTAACTTTTACTTTCATGAACATGCTCTGCGGGGGGTGGTATTCACTTACCTTCCCTAACGGTTTGCAAATGTGAGTGTGTGCATGCACACTCACTTCACTCACACACACCACCTCCGTGCATGCACTTTTGGCAGAAAAGGGGCCAAATGTGATTCTGTAGAGTCGGGATGGGTTGGCGGAGCCAGCCGCGATTTCCGCTACCACTTCAGGCAAATTGGTCTGAACTGGTAAAATACCACCTCTGATGCTCTGGATGTATCCACTTCCATGAATAGTGGTGTCCTTTTCTCTGTTGTCACCCACCTTCCTGAGTGGAAATGGTCCCCTCTGGACAAGGAATGCAGTCATAGCAACAACTTGGCTCTCCTTCTCGTGCCCACTTGCGAAATCCAGGATGGCAATTTTCCACACATTTGGACTGAGGCAGAGACTAAGCAGGAAAACAAGGAATGCTAAAGATGTGTTAGGGCTCACAATCCATGGGAAATGTATGTAGACATGGACATTAATCAAGTAGTCTCTGGGCTTCACTCAAGTAAATATGAAGTAACTGATTCATTCCAAACAGATATATAACTATGGGCAGATTGTTCATTTAGTTCCTCTGTCAGGGAATTGTCAGAGAGGCTGACACAGAATTGTACTTTTATATAAATGAATAATTTGACATTATCTTTTCAACAGACAAGATAGTCCGGAACACAGGAACATCATGAGGTAAATCTAAACAGTATACAGAGCACATAGAAGAAAAAGGAGGGAAAAGGGGAACCACCAATCGTAGCATAGATTGCCTCATGCAGGAGCCAGCAGTCTCCAACCAATCAACTACAACTGTGTGTTCTGGCCCATTGTACACTTTACTGTTCCAGCTACTAAATTAACTATCCTAACTTCCTCCTTTTTGCTTTTGGCATCTAACATTGCAACAGAGGTCTTTTCTAGTTAATAATATCTGGAGGGATGAAATTAAGAAAAGTTTTAAGTGTTCAGTGACATCCAGTGTGCTTTTCCTCGTGGACTTATTAATGCATTCCTCTATTCTTCAGATTATTTTAAAGTATGATGATCTGCTTGTATTAAATTTGAGAATAAACTTTACTCTAAAAGATTTATTACACTTTTGTTCTATTAGATTTATTAAAAATTGAATAAAGGTAGAATGAAGAAGACCAATTGGATCCGGAAATTTTGTGGATTATATAATCATTGCAAAACCATTCCACTTTGAATGTCAACCTAAGGTATCTCCCAGTTAAGATATCATATGATATGTCTGCTGTGTTGATGAACTAAGACTAAAACTGACTATCTAGTTTCTAGAACTGATTCATCCTTCTAGTTCCAAATATATAGAGCCAAGGTGGCGCAGTGGTTAAATGCAGCACTGCAGGCTACTGCTAGATCAGCAGTTCAGCGGTTCAAATCTCACCGGCTCAGGGT